CGCTCTAATTAAAATACCCACAACATCTCATGGATTCAGCATCCCACATTTCAAAGTGGCAGTGGGGGCACTTTTAATTAAATCTTGTTCCATGACCTTTAGTTAAAGTGTCCCCAGCATAATTTGAAACAAGGGGATGTTGAATATACAGAGAAACTGGAGCACGCTGGACCATTCGGATTAGAAGGCTCCAGCACACTCAACTAACTGACACGTTCTAATCAGAACTCATCACAGAACCTGTATAGGTGCCCTAAAATGCCCCCCTGCCCTGCCTTCTGCCTGACTTCAGACTAAAACGGTTAAGTACCTCTCTCAAGTTTATAGTAATTTAAGTATGTCTACAAAGTTGTTTCCATTGGCCTATGCTACAACTTGTCAAAAAACAGATACAGTAGGTTTCCATAGGGTTTCCAAAAAGTGCCTTACACAGTATGCAACAATTTGAACTATTTTAAATAAAAACAGAATTATTTCCCTTGCAAAATGACACTGTATTGTTTAGGAGTTTGGTGGCCTAACTCTTATTTCATTTTATGCACCTAAATAGCACATTTATGACCAAATAACTAGTTTTGGGCACTTGCAAACACTTTGGCATGTGTGAAGCCCACGTTGGGGCTGTGTGAAGCTTCAGTCCCCGATTCAATTTGGCAGAGATTTGGCCCAATTCAGTGGCCGAATCTCCAAATCTGGATTGAATCAGGAGACCCTTTAATCTCTCCAAATCAAATCAGAACCCTCCGAATCAATTCAGAGAGATTTGGAAAGATTTGGAGATTCCTACATAGACACAGCTTTAAATGTTTTTTCTACATACCTCTAGGTAGCAGGCAGCTCATAAATGCTGCGATGTTGGGATGGATGAAGCTTCCTATGGCAGCATGGGGCGCTCCTCAGCAGACCCAGAAGTGGACCAAAAGCACTTCTGGTCCACTTCTGGGTCCACTGGGAAGCGCACTGGGGGAGCCCCCCATGCCCCAGTGCAACTCAGTGACCCAGGGTCCCCCCCGTGGCTGATTGCCAAGCTGGGGGGCATAGGGTGGCCCCCCTACACATTCCCTTGTGGACCCGAAAGTAGACTGGAAGTACTTCCGGTCCACTTCCGAGTTCGCCGCCAAGCATGCGGGCTCCCCCCGCACGCCCCTGTGGGACACTCCATCCACCCCAGCATTGCAACGTTCATGAGCATCACCTTGTACTTTGAGGTATGTAGAAAAAACATTTAAAGTTGTATCTACGGCCAAATCATTGATTCTCTCACCAAATCGCCGATTCTTCTCACCATCGAATCTTCAGCCAAATCCAAATCAGAATCAAAATCGGGGACAGTGATCTGAATCAACAAATCGAATCATTGTCCCCGATTTGGGCCAAATCCAAATTGAATATGGTCCACTTCGCACACCCCAACTGAACATGCTCTCAAAGTCAACACACTGCCTGGGCAACTGCGCAGGAAAATGGACTTACACAGGTATAGGCATAAGGCCTAAGTTATAGTCAGGCAAAAACTACATATCGTGAGCATAAAGGCCCTCTCACTCTTAGCCCAACAACCTGTTAGGGGACTTTCCAGAGAGCTCGAGACCCAGGTTCCAGGACCCCTTCAGAAAAGGGTTTGAAAGTGCATTTCCTGCTTCTCAGTAAGAGGGGAGGCTCTAATCCTCAGGCTATATATTAACTAGAAACTTCACCAAAGGAGATAAATGGAGCTAGAAAGAAAGAAACAAATAAAAGGGTGTGGGTCAATGTGAGAACTGCACTTGCCCTAGATAAGCACAGGTCCCCCCTTTTTCTACTTTTTACTTCTGGTAGGTACCCATACAGACTCATTCTTTTTCACCACAGGTCACACTGAATCCTCAAGCGTGCCCAGAAACACCAAACAGCAGCTCTGCAATTGCATATGGTCCAGTTAGGCACATCAGGCAAAAGAAGATTTAGCCCTCGCTGAGCCTGGGGCCTTTTCTGTTTGCTCCAAAACAGGAAAACTTTGAGGGTAACCTAGGGTTCAAACCATACAGTTTTATACCACCCTATGTATTTCCACAAAGTATTACCATGCATTTCAGTGTGAATGAGAAATAGGTGTGCATGGGAGCAGAGAAAGGACTGGAGGTATGACTAGTGTTCAGCCTTCTGGCTATATTCTATGCTGCAGAGTACCGTGTAGGCAGCTGGGGAGATTTGGGGTCAAGTTTTGAGAGACCTCATGCTGGGGACAACCAGCCAAGGGTAGAGTTCAGAAGGTGCAAAGTTATCTGAAAGTCATTTTTGACCCCTATGCCTCTGAAAAGGTGCAGCATAGAAGTCACTGCCTAATCATGCCTAGGACTCCTATTGAAATATTTGAAATGTCACCACTTTGACTCATCTCTGTGGGTTTCTTTCTTAGATCTGGCTGCCTATTCTAAACTTAAGATCATCCTGATGACTATTTACAAGACCGATCTCAGCCCTGCCAACATCTAATGCTCTTCCTGCCATTTATTCATTTCAGCTTAATGATGAGAGACAGATACGGTCTCCCTTTCTCAAACAAGGCAGAGGTCACTGTAGGTAAGGACATTGTGCTGGAGGTGGAATGCAGCTGACTTTATCCTCTGGATAGGTCTCTGATGTTGACAACTTATGTAGTATCAGTATGATCCTACAATACCCACCGATTAGCTTCCAGCTCTAGTTTTACTCATGGCAGATACAGGTTTCATTTGAGTCATTGCTTACACCAGACAATCTATCCTATACATTCAAAAAACAAAAATGAAAAAGTAGCTCTCAGAGCAATTACTTCAACAGGAAGAATCTATGAAAGGGTCATGAACAAACTTTAGAAATGGATTCTCCTTTAGAGGAGAAAAATGTGGGAAACCATGGTTTTTCCCCTTGCTGGCTGGCAAAGTTGCAGCCTAAAATGGGCTGCTTGAGTCATTTCCCCACCCCCACAACCCTGCCCTGCCCCTGTAGTGCATTGTATTTGTTTAAAGCAAACTGGCCCTAAGTTGCAATACATAATGGTATTGGGGAGGGATATTCCAATGGTAGGAATATTAGCCGATGGCTCAGGAAACCCAGGCTCAAGGCTCTATATTACAAGAGACTCACAGTGTCCGATTCCTGCTGATTTCAAGGGGAGTTAAACACCTGAATACTTTTCTAGATCTAGGTGCTAGTGTCTCTGTGTTTCAGTTCCCCCAGGTTGGAAGGTAAAACCTGAAATGGCAGATCCTTTCCCTGAAATTAGGTAGAAGTTTGCCATTGACTGCAGTGAGAAAGTAAAAAAAAGTCTAATATGTCTATCTATTAACCAGTATTTTTATGTAAGTCCGTCAAGAGTGCAGCAGGTAAAAAGGCTAACGCCTGGAACAAATGAGCACAGGGAGTGGAGAGCACAACAACAGCTGTCTTATCTATTAAGAGATATTTGTGTGTGAGAGAAACACAGGGCTATTTACTGTAACTTATGGGAAACCTTTGATTATGGAAGATACGAGTTATTTACTATTGGGTGGATCCTGTCAAAAAATGAGATTTAGAGAATGAAGGTTTCTGGTTTGAGATTTTGGTTTTCAAATCCAGGATTTTACTTATAAAACACCCATTCGTGCAAGACACATGAGCTACAACGCCTTCAGAAGGTCAATCAAGGTTAACTCAGAACTCTCAGTAACCCCATTCCCACTGATATCCATCCCCATAACAGGATCTGGG